TGATATGTCAGTAATCAGAGGGTTATACTGTAATATAGACATGTAAATTTCGTTTCATTCAGAAAGGATATTTGTACGAATATAGTTAAATTCGGACATTCCAAAGCATCTGAATTTCCAAAATCTAGCAAAGCGAAGGTAACATGCTGATATAAAATTAGAGTGAGATTTTCAAAGGCGTTCCTGCAAGATAGCATCATGGGTAAAAAAAAAGCTCAGCAATTTTCTAGTACAGTGCACACTAGCAGCATAAGGTTTAACCCTTTTGCTGCCACCAATGTAAGGATTACGCCAGCGGCATCACCGCCATGTAAAGACTACCAGCTGCTAGTTTGTTTACCTTTTTTACAGAGATCTTTTTATTAGAAGTAATTTGGGCCGCTGTGAAGCCGTCTGATTACGTCTATATGTACAGTATATGTACAACCATGTGTGTTCGGCTTACCTGTCCCTCCCAGGTTACCAGGGACCTCCACAGTGGGTTTTAGGATGGAGAGTGGCAGTAGATCAATGAAGGATCATCAAACTTTAGTTTGTTGATCTCCCCTGTGAAGAATGAACCTGCAAGCACTTAGCTCTGAGCACTTCCATGTTCAATTCTGTCAATCTTCATTCACTCCAGCTAGGGAAAAAGCTAAATTAGCACAGTTCTGTGCCCCCTGCAGTTGACCTGCATTTCTCCCATAGATTAAAGTCATTAAGAGAGGTAAGGCTACCATTGTCAACCTCTTTCTGATAATACTAATCAGTTGGCTGTCTTTGGCTTCAATATGTTCTGAGAACCTGAATGCGTACAATATGTAGCTCCTGATCAGCATGTTTGTTCCAGGTGAGTGACACAGAAATCATCAAAGTCATTAGATAACTGCAACAGCCAGGGAGCTACTATTCTCAGAAGGAGAATTCAGCAATGGAAGCCTCCTTGTGTCCTTGGGTGTATTTAGTAGAAAATGAAAGTTGGCATTGTGGTGGTGTCTGAATCTAGATTAGGTTGAGTATTTAAATTAGTTCGATGTCTTGTCTTTTCAGTCTATAGACATTGACATAATATACATTTGTTGAGACGTAATTATAAAAATGTCAATAATTTATATTACTTGGAGCTTGTGCTGAGTCATATTGAATATGCACAAATCATTTGAAGCAAGACCTCGTGGCGCAACGGTAGCGCGTCTGACTCCAGATCAGAAGGTTGCGTGTTCAAATCACGTCGGGGTCAGCAGCTCTCTTTTGTTAAATTCTGCTTTATACTAAAACCATATTGTTTAGAATTATTTAAAAAAAAACAGACATCAGAAATGTGAGGTATATACAATTTTTTTATTTCATTTTATTACTATAAATTGGCACCAGTAAACACGTCCCATATTTGAATGTAAACTTACAGCTGTGTGATCTATTCATCATAGTTGATACATACAGTCATGGCCCAAAATATTGGCACCCCTGCATTTCTGTCGGATAATGCACCACTTTGCGCAGAAAATTATTGCAATTACAAATATTTAGGCATTCTCATGTTTATTTCTTTTGTTTGTTGTACCCTGGCTGTTGCAGTTATCTAATGACTTTGATTATTTCTGTGTCACTCACCTGGAACAAACATGCTGATCAGGAGCTAGATATGGCACAAAAAAAAGTGGAGAAAAAAAAGTCAAACCCGACATTCCACGCAAAACTCCAAATATGGACCTGACAGAATTATTGGCACCCTCAACTAATATTTGATAGCACAGCCCTTGGGAAAAAAACTGAAATCAATCGCTTACTGTAACCATCAATGAGTTTCTTACACCTCTCTACAGGAATTTTTGATCACTCTTCTTTCGCCAACTGGTCCAGGTCTCAGATTGGAAGGGTTTATTTTCCCAACTGCTGTTTTGAGATCTCTCCACAGGTGCTCTGTGGGATTCAGAACTGAACTCATTGCTGGCCAGTCCAGTACTCTCCAGCGCTTTGTCTGAAACCATTTCTGGGTGCTTTTTGACGTGTGCTTTGGGTCATTGTCCTGCTGTAAGACCCATAACCTCTGACGGAGACCAACTTTCTGACACTGGGCCCTACATTGCACCCCACAATTCTTTGGTAGTCTTCAGATTTCACAGTTAAGACATCCAGTGCCTAAAGCAGCAAAGCAACCCTAAAACATCAGTGAACCTCCACCATGTGTGACTGTAGGGACTGTGTTTTTTTCTTTAAAGGCCTCATTTCTTTTTCTGAAAACAGCAGAATGATGGGCTGCACCAAAAAGCTGTAATTTTGTTTCGTCTGTCCACAGCACATTCTTCCAAAAGGATTTTGGCTTCCTCAGGTAAGTTTTGGCGAACTACAATCTGGCTTTTTTTTATCTTTCTGTGTCAGCAGTGGGGTCCTCCTGGGTCTCCTACCATGGCATCCCTTTTCATTCAAAGTATAGTGCGAGCTGACACAGTTGTACCCTGTGCCTGAATGTCAGCTTGAATTTGTCTGGAAGTTCATTGAGGGTCTTTATCCACCATTCAAACAATCCTTTGCTGCAATCTTTGATCAATTGTTTTCTTTTGTCCGCGTCCAGGGAGATTAGCTACAGTGCCTTGGGCTATAAACTTCTTGACAATGTTGCACACTGTGGACACAGAAAGATTAAGATCTCTGGAGATGGACTTGTAACCTTGAGATTTCCCATGCTTTTCCACAAAAACTTGGAATGCAATTATTTCTTGCAATTTGGAGAAGGTGCCAATTTGGAGAAGGTGCCAATAATTTTGTCCAGTACATTTTTTGAGCTTTGCGTGAAATGTCTCAGATTTGGCTTTTTTTTCACCACTTTTTTGTGTCATACCAATACAAAAAAAAGAAAAAGACACGAAAATGCCTAAACATTTGTAATTGCAAAAATTTTCTGTGCAAAATGGTGCATTATCGGACAGAAATGCAGGGGTGCCAATATTTTTAGCCATGACGGTCTAACTAATTGTGACTTTAAACTGCCAATTCTGTTGCAACGTGTACAGCAACCCTTTTGTTAATCAGTAACCTTTCAAAAAGAAGTACAGCCTTTTTGCACTGCCTCACCATTGTTTCAGTCCAACTCCAGCTACCCAAACAAAGTGTATACGTATTAAGATTTTTTTTTTTTTTTTTTAGAATTAATATTTCTAATCAGAATGTGAAAACTCCAAGTAACAAGTAAGCAAGTAACATGAATAGTTGAGAAAATATCCAAGGCAAAAAGTAATAACTAAATAGGTAAAAACGAACGATTATTGTACTTATAGAAAATAATAATACATTAAAACGTGTTTTGTTTTCTTAAGTTAAAGGTAAATTCCATCTTTTAAAGAACAATTACCATGTTTCATGCTACACCCTGCTTATGGGTGTAACATGAAACATGATATAAAGGAAAACTTTGCCTTTAAAGCAGAATAAAAAAATGTGATTTGCTATAAAGGAGAACGATGAGGCGAGTGAAAATCACTCAACCTCATAGTTCGAGCCGACGTGTGACAATGAAACTGTCGCAAGTGGGCTCAATAGATCGGGAAGTGAGCGGACACATACCGTTGCTCGCTCACTTCTAGATCATGTCCCTGCAGAGAGCCGTGACTGTCACTCACAGCTCCCTGCAGGGATTCCCCCCCTCCCCTGTCCGATCCTCCAGCGCTGAGTGGAGGAATGGACAGAGGAGGGGGCAGGTACAGCTGGCTCTGCCTCTAGATAGGCAGAGCCAGCTGTCAATCACGCAGCTGGGTGGATCTCGACAGTATTGTCGGGATCCGTCCTGGCTGCGGCGGTCTCAGTATACCGCGAGCTATACTGAGCTTTGGGTCACGGGAGGATGCTAGTTTATGTCCTCCCGTGATGACCCTGAGAAGAACTATGGGGAAAAACACTGACCCCTGACACACTGATCCCATAGTTCTCCTTTAAAGTAGTATTAAACTTTTTTCAATAGTGAATCCAAATCAAACAAATATACATTGTCCAGCAAAGTATTTCTTTACATTTTTGCTCAAGCACTTACAAGCATCGTGTTTCTGAATAGCTGAATCCAACTCTCTCATCTCAGCTTCCCTGAACTCCCTGCACAGCGCAAGATCACAAGAGAGAACACAGTCTCCAGCAGCTGTTCATCTACTAGATTGAAGAAGAAAGGAAGAACAGGGAACAGAGGGGAGTGAGGCTTGCCTTGCTGTGTCTGTGTGTTTGTAAAGACACACGGTCCCTGTGTGTGCTTACTAGCACACACAGGGACCGTAGGACCCTGCAAGGGAAAGGAGACTTCCTAAAACAGAATATCAGGGCCAATGCTCAGGGGACCAGCTGATTCTACAGGAAAGTAACACTTTTTAACAATAAGAAGCAGCATCCATTGAAAGTGATTTCATCACCATTTGAAATAACTAAAACATTTTAATATCACTTTAAAAGCTACAGAAAATGTAAAACCATAATGTTTGGTTTTATATATATGGTTTTAGGTCCAATTATACATGCTTTTCCTAAGATGACTTAAATAAAGGTTAACTTTTTTTTAAATAAAACAAGCACCTAATGTGGTGCACCCCTAGAAAATAAATAGTTTTCTTCCTTGAAGGTAAAGTGTAGTATTGATGTGGAAGATGTTTTGCATGCAGGATTGTTATCATGCATAAATATGTAAAAGTCCAGAGTTATCCTTCAAACTTAAAAGATAAGTTACATTTTGTTACATTTATCCTCTCCAGAACCCCTCCTTTAGCACTTTCAGTACAGGTGATAGGTACCTACAACACTGCTCCTCTGAGATCTTCACTGCGTGGCCTGCCCAGTGCTACACAACCTCTGTCCAATATCTTCGGAAAGCCTGTCTGCAGTAGGGATATGACAAATGTACCTGGGCTTGGTTTGCAAGACCTTTGCCAAACGCTCCTCTGATGTTTGAATGTTAATCCGAAACCCATTGAAGTCAATGGGAGCTTTAAAATCAACTCTGGCATTTTTCAAGGCTAACCGAGTTAACCGATCCCAAAGATGACCGCTCTAAGTCTGTTGGCACTTAGATTGTTGTCCTGCAAGCTGGAAAATCTCTGCGCATGGTCCGGGGTGTATCTACTGCAAGGCAAACTAGGCATTTGCCTATGGCGGCACTTTCCAGAGGGGCGCCAAAAAATGCTGCCCCCAAATCAGTTAGGTAAGAGAAAAAAAATAAATTATATTATAAATTATTCATAAATTACTGTCAGTACTTCTGGACCTGGTGCTTCTTTGACTGGGGGAACAACATGTCCACCTATGCCGCCTACTCCAACATATATGCCGGCTGCAGCTCCTTCCTCTTCTTGGTCAACATGCTGTGCAATGTATGTGACTTTCATCCGGATGCACTTGCAGTTCATGCGCTGGACCTCCCTGGGAAATCGACACCGAGAAGCTTCCGCAGGACCCCCAGGGCTGAGATCCAGATGGTCATCGTGCTCATCGGCACCTCCGTGGTGGTGGGTCGGGGGAAGGAGATCCTTTGCCAAACGCTCCTCTGATGTTTGAATGTTAATCCGAAACCCATTGAAGTCAATGGGAGCTTTAAAATCAACTCTGGCATTTTTCAAGGCTAACCGAGTTAACCGATCCCAAAGATGACCGCTCTAAGTCTGTTGGCACTTAGATTGTTGTCCTGCAAGCTGGAAAATCTCTGCGCATGGTCCGGGGTGTATCTACTGCAAGGCAAACTAGGCATTTGCCTATGGCGGCACTTTCCAGAGGGGCGCCAAAAAATGCTGCCCCCAAATCAGTTAGGTAAGAGAAAAAAAATAAATTATATTATAAATTATTCATAAATTACTGTCAGTACTTCTGGACCTGGTGCTTCTTTGACTGGGGGAACAACATGTCCACCTATGCCGCCTACTCCAACATATATGCCGGCTGCAGCTCCTTCCTCTTCTTGGTCAACATGCTGTGCAATGTATGTGACTTTCATCCGGATGCACTTGCAGTTCATGCGCTGGACCTCCCTGGGAAATCGACACCGAGAAGCTTCCGCAGGACCCCCAGTGCTGAGATCCAGATGGTCATCGTGCTCATCGGCACCTCCGTGGTGGTGGGTCCGGGGAAGTGCAGCCTATAAGCTCTGTTTCGGGTTATGTCTCTAGAGCGGGGCAAGCTACAGAGCCCAGCGGCCAAGGCAGAAGATTGGTAACTGCAGAATTGGAGGGCCCAGCATATGAAGGCAGAAGATCGGTGTTGCAGCTGCAGAACTGGAGACCAGCACAGCATGGCAGGGCAGTAGAGAAGGGTATTGTAGCTGCAGAACTAGGGAGCCCATCAAACCAGGAATAGAGAAGTTGGCAAATTCCAAAGGTAGAACCAGAGCGTCATGCTACGTTGATAGCGCAACCTGTCAGAATCTAGATACACCGTGTGCGCTGTATCCCGCGACTGACAGGTTATACAAAATGTCTAAAACAAAACAGGAAGGGGTGGGACTAATTTAGATTAGGGATGGGGGGGAGGGGTGCTCGGGTTTAGTCTTGCCTAGGGCAGCACAAACCCAAAATACATCACTGCGCATGGTGAGGCTGAGAGTTTCAATTGTCACAGGCTGTTGTTCTGATTTAGACTAAAACAGGGTCTTCTCTATTTCTATTACCTGGGGATGCGGGCAGTCTGCAGAAGGTGGCTTGAAAGGCAGATAACTTTGTTTATGATTTTACTTCCTGAAAATATTCCTAGTCTGAGAAATGAAAACAAATGCAGACACCACAACTAAGAGCTGGTTAACTACAATATATTACATTATTGTCCTTGTATTGAAATATCCTTTAAATCTATATGTCATTCAAGGCCTAAACTCGCCTGTTAAACGGCAAATGGCTTTCAATCATTATTTCTCCCAAAAAATAGATGTACTTTGCCTCCAGGAAACGCACTTCCCAAATAGTTATAATCCATCGTTTATACATAAACATTATACTCAATACTATTTGGCTAATGCGGCAGATAAATCTAAGGCGGTAGCCATCTTATTTGCTAGGCACGTCTTATTCAGATTACAATTGGAAATAAAGGATCCCGGAGGGCGCTATTTGTTGGCGAAGGGTTTTATTGGGGACCATCTCTTTATGATTATTTCTTACTATGCCCCCAACTCAGCACAAATCCCTTTTTTTACCCATCTTTTGACTACACTGTCTCCTCACATTGAGGGGACAGTAATACTAGCTGGGGATTCAAATTTAGCTTTGGATCTCAAACTAGATAAATCTCACCCAAAGGGGTCCAAGTTGAAATATCCCTCTAAATGTGGATTAAGGTTGGCAAAGCTTCTTCATTCGCACTACCTAGTGGATGCATGGCATGAATGTAATCCCTCCATGAGGTATTACACTCACTTTTCGCATGCCCACACCACTTATGCTCGTATAGATCATATTTTTGTTTCACCTCAGATGCTGGTAGGCATAAGATTGGTCAGATAATGGTCACATCATTCACTTATGGTAATGACTACTTCATTGGCCCAATCTGTTCGGGGACAATTCCATTGGAGACTCAATGACTCACTACTGAGTGATCCGGGGGTGATAGTGGAAGTTCAAGCCCTCCTTACTGAGTATTTTAGAATTAATACCCCTTCAGTTTCCTCGCCCATCACTAATTGGGAAGCCCATAAGGCAACTTTAAGAGGGCACTTTATTTCTATTGCTACGCGTAAGAAACGTCAACGGACGTTACATATTTCTAAATTAGAGGGGGAGATGCTTGTCCTGTCCCACGCACACAAACGTAAGCCAACGAAGGACCTTCGAGACCGTATTGATCAAACTTGTTTGTCGATAAATTTAGCCCTTACGGCAGTGGCGGACAGGAGCCTTCGTTGGTCTCATCATAAATTCTACTCCCACGGGGACAAAGCTGGCCACCTACTAGCTGTCAAACTAGCTACTAAACTGCATAATTATTCGATCCCTAAAATAAGATGTGCGAGTGGGACATATTCACATAACCCTAAAGTGGTAGTCCAGGAGTTTGAATCTTTCTATACTCGATTATACGCCAACACCTATACTTCCTCTAAACTGATAATACAGCAATTTCTAAGATCTGTGACACTCCCTAGTTTAGATCCTGAACATATAGCCTTACTGGAAGAACCAGTCACTCAATCTGAAATTAAACAAGCTATCAAACAGACAAAAATATCTTCTGCTCCTGGGCCAGATAGTTTTTCAGCCGGTTACTATAAGAAATTCGAAGAGATACTGTTACCCCATCTTGAATCTCTGTTTACAGCTATTGGTAAAGGCGACCCCCTGAGTCCGCAAATTAATGAGGCGTTTTTAAGTTTAATTCCTAAACCTAATAAGGATCCAGGAGAAGTAGCCAATTATAGACCTATATCCTTGATAAACAACGATTTGAAATTGCTTACGAAAGTATTAGCTAATAGAATTAATTCATTTTTGGCTACCTATATACATAAAGACCAAGTGGGGTTCATTAGAGGGAGACAGGGGCCAGATCAAATTCGTAGAGCAATCGATATAATATCTTTGTTAAAGTCTGGATGGGGCGGGAAGTCAGACGCCACTGGCTTGTTGTTATCAATTGACTTACAAAAGGCCTTTGACTCAATATCTTGGACTTACCTTTTTACGCTACTGGAAGAGTGGGGGTTCGGCATCAGGTTTACGAGCTTACTTCGGAATCTGTATACCCTGCCTTCAGCTACTATTAAAATGCAGGGATTTAAATCAGCCCCAATTCCAATATGTAAAGGCACTAGGCAGGGTTGCCCCCACTTCCCCTTTTTATTTGCGTTGGCGATCGAGCCTCTAGCTATCTTTATACGGGAGAATCTTAATATTAAAGGAGTGCAATGTGGAACAGGAGAACACAAATGTGCCCTTTTTGCAGATGACTTACTGCTGTTTCTTACGCAGCCATTGACTACGTTACCCAATGTAATGTCATCTCTCGATAGATTTGCAAAGGTATCTGGGCTTTATATAAATACGGCTAAGTCTCTAGCTCTGAATATAAATCTTCCCCCTGAGCAAGTGAACATGTTGAAAGCAACTTTCCCTTTCTCATGGTTGTTGGCCTCGCTACCCTACTTGGGGATCAACCTCACCCCCTCTTTCGACCTTTTGTACCAAACGAATTTCCCTCCTATGTTTTGTTCCATGGTGTAACGGTTAGCACTCTGGACTTTGAATCCAGTGATCCGAGTTCAAATCTCGGTGGAACCTAGTTTTTAATTTTTTAATTAAGTCTATTCATGATGTATGTGTCACACATTTTTCAGTTTGGGTAAAATATATGGGCAAGAAAATCATTTGTCAATAGAACCCCATTACCTTGTGAGGAATTCAACAAAAGTCCTGTATGCTGCAATTTGGAGAGGAGAGAGGAGGGTAGGGGATAAATGGATTATTATTATACAGGATTTCTATAGTGCCAACAGTTTGCGCAGAGCTTTACAATATAAGCAAGACATTACAATTACAATACAATTCAAGACAAGATAGTAAGGAGGGCCCTGCCCGTGACAGTTAACAATCTAAAAGGATTTGAAGGAGAACAGGGACCTAGGCAAGGTAGCAGCTGTGGCCCACACATCCCTTTCGCTAATGTTGATAAGGATGGCAATAGCCAGAGAGAAAGTGCCCCATCTGCATTACACACAACATCAGACACCAACAGACAACACAGCTTTGACCAACTGTGCCTATACCCTTATCCCTTTGGTTTCCAGCAGAAGCACGAAGGCTGTAGCTGGACCCCAGGGCATCCACCAGGTTCCTGTTATAATCGCTCTCTGGGGGAAAGGAGAATATGAAGGTGGGGGGAGGAGGATGATTCCATACCCCCAACCCTCCCAGCTTCTGTGATATATGTTAGTGTTTCGGTTTGCTGGAGAGTCGGAGTACTCCAGTAAAAGGTCCACTAACCATGAAGATAGGTCCTAGCCCCAATAAAGTCAGTGGGAGCTGAATTTGTTCTGGCCTTTTTTAAGGTAATTTTGCAAGCTTTTGTAAAAAAAAAAAAAAAAGACACGGGTTGCTGGCTACTGACATGGGGGACATGTACCAATGCAAAAAATGAAATCGCCACTTTGGTGGGTCATCATGAGTGACGTGAATCTGCATGGCTGGAAAACATGACTGACACTGGATTGCATATTGAGACATTTTTTTTTTTCTTGGATAAAGCACTTTTTTCATGGTTTGGGTTTTTTGTTTTTTTCTTACTTTTTCACCATGAATGACAATGTACCCTCTTTCCACAGATGGCTTCAAGATCCCTATAAGTCCCCCCTACAAACCCCTATATCCCTTTTGGGGACAGGATGTGGGAAAGAGGTTCTTGTCCCCTCAACATTGGGGATAAGATGGCTTGCAAGAGGGGTAAGCTTTGCCTTCATGACTCGCATCCCGGCCTCCTGGTCAGAAAGCCA